GAGGCGATGGGCTCCGGGGCAGACGTGTTCTGCAGCGGAGCAGGGGACCGAGGCGGGCAGGGCTTTTTGTCCGGCATCGAGGCCACTCAGGGGAGCCGCCGGGACCCGGCAGTCCTCGCGAGGGAGGCTGACGAGGCGCGGGCGGAGCCAGCAGCGCCCCCTCCCAGGCTGTTTAAAAGTTGCCCCTAGGGAGCGCGGCGACCAGGACGGGCAAACAGGGTGTGGCGGTTAGCGCGGCAGTTAGCGCGGCAGTTAGCGCGGGCAGGGCGAGCGGGGGGCCCATCGTCGCTCTGTTGCAGCTGCCTCTCCCTTCGGTGCTTGTAACCTGCTTGCGGAGAACCTGACCATGGTATCAACCAGGCAGAAAACCGTGGCCTCCGCATCTCGTGCGGCATCTCCAGCCACGGTCACCAGTGTGGCTACTCAGACGGAGGGCTCGGGGAAACACGCAGCCGTCCAGGTCCTGGGCTGCAGAGTGTGCCCCAGCCTTCTGTCGGCCTCCGACAGCAGTGGTGGGTATGCCTGTGGGAGGTGTGCCCAGGTTGAAGAACTGCTCAGCCAGGTAGCGGTGCTCCGGGAGGAGGTGAACAGGCTCAGGAGCATCAGGGAATCAGAGATGGAAATTGACTGGTGGAGGTGCACTCTACCCTCTCTGAGGCAGGCTCACGAGCCTGCCACAGCACAGGCGTCTCCTGTTATGCAGAAGACGGAGGTTCCCTCCTCCTGCCAGGCAGCGGGAGGAGACCTAGATCAAGGGGGGGAATGGAGGCAGGTGCCTATTCGGGGTGGTAGGCGAGCCCTCTCTCTGCCCACCTCACCTTCTCATCTACCCTTAAATAATCGATACGAAGGACTAGAACAAGACAATCTGAATGACAAAGTAGATAAAAACCCGTCCCAGTTGGAGGGGGCGCCTAAGACAAGGCGACCTACACATCGCATTGCCACATCATCCTTCAAAAAAGAAAGAAGGGCTATTGTTATGGGGGGCTCCCTTCTGAAAGGGACAGAGGGACCGATATGCCGACCGGACCCAACCCGCAGAGAAGTCTGTTGCCTCCCTGGGGCTCGGGTGAGAGACTTTGCCAAGAAAGTCAAGCGCCTGGTACGGCCCACTGACTACTACCCGCTACTGGTCTTTCAGGCTGGTAGCGATGAAGTAGCAATGAGAAGTCCGAAGGCGATCAAAAGAGACTTTAGGGATTTGGGGCGACTACTTAGAGGATCAGGGGCGCAGGTTGTGTTTGCCTCTGTCCTTCCGATAGGGGGGATCAAAGCTGAAAGGCGTGCTGTTCACATAAACTCGTGGCTTCGAGACTGGTGTGACCGGCAGAACTTTGGGTTCTTTGATCACGGGAAGGTCTATGCTACACCGGGCCTGATGGCACCGGATGGGATGCGCCTCTCTCAGAGAGGGGTAAGGATCTTGGGTCAGGAGTTGGCAGGGCTGATAGATAGGGCTTTAAACTAGAGTCGAAGGGGGAAGGGGCTAAAACCAGGCACGCCGGTGAAGACCTAAGGGATGGTACGCTAGAATCAGAGGGGCTGTGTGCCAGTGAGGTCCTTCGGTCAGATCCACAAGGTGCTGAGTGTAAGGAGACGCACCTGAAATGCTTCTACACGAACGCACGCAGTATGAGGAATAAAATGGATGAGCTAGAAGTACTGGCCCAGTCCCGCAGTACGACATCATCGGCATAAGCGAAACCTGGTGGGATGAGTCCTGTGACTGGGGTGTTGCGATAGATGGTTACAGGCTCTTCAGGAGGGACAGGCAGGGTAGGCGAGGTGGTGGGGTGGCGATGTATGTGAAGCAGGGGCTGGACTGTGTGGAACTCCAGGTCGGCGATGGCAAAGTTGAGAGCCTCTGGGTAAGGATCAAGGGACGAACGAATAAAGGGGATGTCGTTGTGGGAGTCTATTACAGACCGCCTGGCCAGGACGATAGCGCCGATAAATTATTCTTTACAGAACTAAGAGAGGCCTCGAGATTAACTCCCCTTGTCCTTATGGGGGACTTCAACTTGCCAGACGTTAACTGGGAGTGCCACACGGCTGACACGAGCAAGTCCAGGAGGTTCATGAAGCACCTAGATGATAACTTCTCGGTGCAGGTGCTAACGGAGCCAACTAGGAAAGGTGCCCTCCTAGACCTGTTGCTAGAAAACAGAGAGGGTCTGGTGGGAGATGTGGTGATTGGTGGCCGCCTCGGTCATAGCGACCATGAAGTGGTTGAGTTCAAACTTTACGGTGACAGAAGGAAAAGTGCCACCAAAACCTCATCCCTAGATATGGGGAAAGCGGACTTCAGGCTGCTCAGGGAACTAGTCAGCAAGGTCCCCTGGGAAGCTGCTCTTGAAGGCCTCGATGTCCACCAGTGCTGATCATTCTTTAAGCGATGCCTCCTAGAAGCACAAGATCAGGCAATTCCTAAATATCGCAAGTCAGGCAGGCGGGGCAGGAGGCCGGCGTGGCTGACCAGGAACATTCTAATGGAGATAAGGCGGAAACAGAGAGTGTTTCGCTACTGGAAGGAGGGCCAGGTGTCATGGAAAGAATACAGGGATGCTGTTCGTGTTTGTAGGGAGAAAATTCGTGTGGCCAAAGCACACCTAGAGTTGAAGCTGGCTGTGGCTGTGAGAGAAAATAAAAAGGGTTTTTTTAGATATGTGAATGGAAAAAGGAGAGCTAAAGAATACATAGGGCCACTCCTTGATAGGGAAGGTCTCCTCACAGACAATGACACAGGCAAAGCAGAGACACTTAACGCCTTCTTTGCCTCTGTCTTCAATGCCGATGATGGGCTTCGGGACCCAGGGTGCCCTGAGCTGGAGGACCGGGACAGTGGGGATGACAAACTCCCAACCGACCCTGAACGTGTGCGGGATTTGCTACTCCACCTGGATCCCTACAAGTCCATGGGTCCAGATGGGATTCATCCCCGGGTGCTGAAAGAGCTGGCGGATGTCATCGCGGAACCTCTCTCAATTATTTTTCAACGATCCTGGGAATTTGGAGAGGTCCCGGTAGACTGGAAGCTGGCAAATGTTGTGCCGATTTTCAGGAAGGGTCAGAAAGAAGACCCTAGCAATTACAGGCCTGTCAGTCTCATCAGTGCCTGGTAAAATCATGGAGAAGATGGTTCTCAAACTTATTGAGGCGCACCTGGGGGACAAAGCAGTCATTGGTCCCAGCCAGCATGGGTTTGTGAAGGGTAGGTCCTGCCTAACTAATCTGATTTCCTTTTATGATAAGATCACCCGTATGGTGGACCAAGGGAAACCAGCTGATGTGATTTTTTTGGACTTCAGCAAGGCTTTTGACACGGTTTCCCATAGGATCCTACTGGACAAAATGTCCACCATACAGCTAAATAAAAACATCATACGATGGGTGAGCAATTGGCTAACCGGCAGGGCCCAAAGGGTTATGGTGAATGGGTCTGCGTCAGGCTGGCGGGCGGTCACCTGTGGGGTCCCTCAAGGCTCCATTTTAGGGCCGGTACTTTTCAATATTTTTATAAACGATCTGGATGTAGGAATAGAAGGTATTTTGAGCAAGTTTGCTGATGACACCAAACTTGGAGGAGTTGTGGACTCTGTTGAGGGTGGAAAGGCCTTGCAGAGAGATCTGGATAGGTTGGAGAGCTGGGCGATCACCAACCGCATGAAGTTCAATAAGAGCAAGTGCCGGGTCCTGCACGTGGGACGGGGAAACCCTGGCTGCACGTACAGACTGGGCGATGAGACGCTGGAGAGCAGCCTAGAAGAGAGGGATCTGGGGGTCGTGGTAGACAGCAAGTTGAATATGAGCCAGCAGTGTGCCCTGGCAGCCAGGAGGGCCAACCGTGTCCTGGGGTGCATCAAGCACGGCATCGCTAGTAGGTCGAGGGAGGTGATTGTCCCGCTCTACTTTGCGCTGGTGCGGCCTCACCTCGAGTACTGTGTGCAGTTCTGGGCACCACAGTATAAAAAGGACATGAAACTGTTGGAGAGTGTCCAGAGGAGGGCTACGAAGATGGTGAAAGGCCTGGAGGGGAAGACGTACGAGGAACGGCTGAGGGCACTGGGCCTGTTCAGCCTGGAGAAGAGGAGGCTGAGGGGAGACCTCATCGCAGTCTACAACTTCCTCGTAAGGGGGTGTCGAGAGGCAGGAGACCTTTTCTCCATTAACACCAGTGACAGGACCCGTGGGAACGGGGTTAAGCTGAGGCAGGGGAAATTTAGGCTTGACATCAGAGGGGGTTCTTCACAGAGAGGGTGGTTGCACACTGGAACAGGCTCCCCAGGGAAGTGGTCACTGCACTGAGCCTGTCTGAATTTAAGAAGAGATTGGACTGTGCACTTAGTCACGTGGTCTGAACTTTTGGGTAGACTTGTGCGGTGTCAAGAGTTGGACTTGATGTTCCTTAAGGGTCCCTTCCAACTCAGGATACTCTATGATTCTATGATTCTATTTATTGCTGGGAATGATGCTAAATGGTGTGGAGTATCCCCTTGGTCCTCTGGGGTCGGTTGTCCTGGCTGGGTGCCCTCCCAGCCTCTTGTGCATACCCAACCTCCTCGCTGGCAGGGCGGTGTGAGAAACAGAAAAGGACTCGTCACTGTGCAAGCACTGCTCAGCAACAGCTAAAACACCAGTGCCTTAGCAACACTGTTTTGGTCACAAATCTGCAACGCAGCACCATCTACTATGAAGAAAATTAACTCTACCCCCGCCCAAATCAGTATAAATAGCTTGCCATAAAAGCCACACCCCATTCCCCCCCCGAATCCCGCAGCATTTGAAGCAGTTACACAATCGCATTAAACAGAAGTTTGCAAGGTCTAAGACTGAGAGAAGCAGAATCAAAACATTTGTGCGTTTTTCCCCAAACTGGCATGCGACCCCAATTTATTCAGCCAAGCACAAACTAACATTCATTAGCTTCACGAGCACCACACAACTCGCAACAAAGCGGCATACTCACCCGAAGAAGTACTGACAGCAAAAAGACTTACCTGGCCCGCCGCCGTGATTGCCATGTCTCCCGCCGCCATTGAATTTGTCATGCTCGTCGTAGTCGTCGCCACTGAATTTGTCTTGCTCTTTGCCAGTGTTAGATAAGGTATGCCCGTGGCCACTGCTGGGTATGTCACGCCCACCGACACCGCTGGATATGTCACGCTCCCCCCTGCCACTGAGTATGTCATTTGTTCTACCTCCTCTTCCTCCGCCTCCTCTTCCTCCTCTAGATATGTCATGTTCGCCTCCGCTGCTGATGGATTGCCCGCCCCCGGCGCTGCAGCTGGATTTCCCACCCCCGGCGCTACTGCCAGGTTTCCCTCGCCTGCTGCTGCATTTCCTGCGCCCACTGCTGCTGCTGCTGCTGGATTGGCTGCGCCCACTGCTGCTGCTGCTGCATTTCCTGCGCCCACTGCTGCTGCTGCTGCTGGCCTGGCTGCGCCCACTGCTGCTGCTGCTGCTGGATTGGCTGCGCCCACCACTACTGCTGCTGCTGCATTTCCTGCGCCCACCGCTGCTGCTGGACTGGCTGCGCCCACTGCTGCTGCTGCTGCTGCTGCTGGACTGGCTGCGCCCACCGCTGCTGGATTTCCTGCAACCGCATCTGCTTTGCGACTTCCCATATCTCCCGCTGCTTCTCCATGGCCCGTGCCCGTCGCTTCCACTCTTCTTGAAATTCCTGTTTTCGCCGCTCGATTATCCAGGCCAGCTCCTTCTGCAGGGCTTCCCATGCCTTTTGCTTCTGCTGGATTCGCTCTTCCCGTCGCTGCTGCCGGCGTTGCCATGCCCAGCGCTGCAGCAGGCATTGCAATGCCCGTTGCTGCCTCTGGAGAGGCAACGCCCTTTGCTGCTGCTGGAATTGCCATGCCCGTCGCAGCTGCTGGAGTTGCCATGCTCGTTGCAGCTGTTGAAACAGTGCTTGGTGACGCCCAGACAGCACTACTACCAACAAAACTAAAATTGAACTGAGGCAGCGACGCAGTACCGATGGGTAGGGGGATGAAAGCTGGTCTTCACATTTGTAGCATGCATGCTGAATGACAAATTATAAGCCAGAAGCCTACATAGTTCTCTCCATCAAGGCAGATTCAGCTTTAGTGTTCTGCAACAGCCTACTAAATGCCTAAGAAAACAAGTCTAGCTTCTTTATTAGTTTACTTACAGGAAATGTAGATAGCACTTCTGCCTCCGTAGACTTCACAGTTAGCAGTCCTGCATTTGCATTTTCATCTCTAACACTACTTGTTGGCTGTATCTGTATTTTCAAAAGAATTCAAGGCTTACATTTAAGAGCAACAACTACCTGAATTCACTACCCAACACAAGTCCTGCAGTGACGTTGAAAAGCTTGATGTTTCAGTTATTTTGCAGAGAGAAGTAGTAATAAAACAAAGTCAAGTTTCCTAGTGGGTATAGGACAATATCTTCACAACCAAATTCCAGAAACCCAGAGGAAAAGCTGGAGATGCTACTTAGGTCTAAATGCATGGAAAAGCAAACCAGGAAGCTGAAGAACGGTAAACTCAGCCCAGTGACACTCCAAGAACTTCAGCAAACACCTCAACGTATTACATCAGCTACCTACTTCAAACCATACAAAAATATTTCAATTGCTCTGGAACAGATTGATGTTTATTTTATTGCAATAATATGCCAATTATTGCACCCTAGGCTCATTCTATGCGAGGCTTATACGACCACATTACCTCTAATTTAATAACTTCAATAAAGTTGTGGTTTAACCATTGTAGGCAACTAAGCACCACACAGCCACTCGCTCACTCCCTTCAAGTGGAACAGGGAAAAGAACTGGAAACAAAGAAGTGAAGTTGTTAAATTTGAGGTACCATTAATGACTCTTCACAGTAATGGCTACCTGGAAAGACGAATGCCATAACCCTGTACGTACCCCCAGCTCCTTCCCCTTCTTTCAACAACTGTACAGCAAGAACACTGAAAGTTAACTCAAAACCTGTGCAGAACAAAGAGGCACAGATCAGATTTTTCTTTTCCTTTCCTATACTTTGGTCATCAGAGCTCTAGAGAAGCTCCTTTCTAACTACCCTCACACCTCTTCAATTAAGAGTACACTCTCAAGACAAATGAGAAAGCGTTCCTCTTGCAAAATTAGGCAGGAAGGTTGCCAAAGTTTCTAAAGTCACTACAGCAGTGACTTTTTTTTTTTTTTTTCCTAGTATAGTTTCAGAGTTCTTCTCTGATGGACATAAGCAGACAAGCGAAGACAAAAGATATTCTGTTTACCTGAAGTACTGGTTTGGACCCCAAATGAAAAAGCTGGCTTTGCTTGCTCAGGTTCCTTCTCTGATGGTTTAACGAAACTGAAGTTGAATATGGGTTTTGCTGTGCTCTCTTCTTTTGTATGCTCGGACTTCCCAACTGAAAAGATAGGCTGTGCCTTTGACTCTTCAGCGTCAGCTTTCTTTCCAAACGCTAATGGAGCAGCAGAAGTGACAGAATCCTGCTTCTCTTCTGTCCTTCCCAAAATAAACTGTGAGGCAGCTGCAGACTCTGCACTGCCAAAGGAGAAGCCTCCTTTTGTTGAAGGAGCTTCGTCCTTCTTCTCATCTGGCTTCTTAAATGCAAAAGAAGCTGATACAACCTCCTGGTCTCCAGCAGTTCCAAAAGTGAAGCCACTGACTCCAGTTTTATTCTCGTTGGCAGCCATGGCAGTAGCAGAACTTGTACCAAAAGCAAAACCTCCCAATACTGGTTCCTCTTTCTTTTCCTGCTGTCCCAGGCTCGCGGCCCCAAACCGAAATGTTGAAGGAGCCTGACTACTTGTAGATGGAAGGCCAAAGGTAAAACTGTTTCTTTTTCCTTCTTTTTTACTCTCTTCTGATTTAGATAGCGAGGATGAAACTCCACATTTGAAGTCCCCTGGTGTACTAGGACACTTAAATCCCCCAACCACATTGTTGGAGGATGCAGATTCAGAGGCAATGCCAAACTTGAAGCCCCCTTGTTCTCCAAATTTGAAACTTCCCGTGCTATCTAACATATGAGAAGACTCAGAGGATGATGACGACTGAACACCAAATGTAAATGATGGTAAGGCAGCATTTCGCAGTTCGCGCGGGCAGGGCGAGCGGGGGGCCCATCGTCGCTCTGTTGCAGCTGCCTCTCCCTTCGGTGCTTGTAACCTGCTTGCGGAGAACCTGACCATGGTATCAACCAGGCAGAAAACCGTGGCCTCCGCATCTCGTGCGGCATCTCCAGCCACGGTCACCAGTGTGGCTACTCAGACGGAGGGCTCGGGGAAACACGCAGCCGTCCAGGTCCTGGGCTGCAGAGTGTGCCCCAGCCTTCTGTCGGCCTCCGACAGCAGTGGTGGGTATGCCTGTGGGAGGTGTGCCCAGGTTGAAGAACTGCTCAGCCAGGTAGCGGTGCTCCGGGAGGAGGTGAACAGGCTCAGGAGCATCAGGGAATCAGAGATGGAAATTGACTGGTGGAGGTGCACTCTACCCTCTCTGAGGCAGGCTCACGAGCCTGCCACAGCACAGGCGTCTCCTGTTATGCAGAAGACGGAGGTTCCCTCCTCCTGCCAGGCAGCGGGAGGAGACCTAGATCAAGGGGGGGAATGGAGGCAGGTGCCTATTCGGGGTGGTAGGCGAGCCCTCTCTCTGCCCACCTCACCTTCTCATCTACCCTTAAATAATCGATACGAAGGACTAGAACAAGACAATCTGAATGACAAAGTAGATAAAAACCCGTCCCAGTTGGAGGGGGCGCCTAAGACAAGGCGACCTACACATCGCATTGCCACATCATCCTTCAAAAAAAGAAAGAAGGGCTATTGTTATGGGGGGCTCCCTTCTGAAAGGGACAGAGGGACCGATATGCCGACCGGACCCAACCCGCAGAGAAGTCTGTTGCCTCCCTGGGGCTCGGGTGAGAGACTTTGCCAAGAAAGTCAAGCGCCTGGTACGGCCCACTGACTACTACCCGCTACTGGTCTTTCAGGCTGGTAGCGATGAAGTAGCAATGAGAAGTCCGAAGGCGATCAAAAGAGACTTTAGGGATTTGGGGCGACTACTTAGAGGATCAGGGGCGCAGGTTGTGTTTGCCTCTGTCCTTCCGATAGGGGGGATCGAAGCTGAAAGGCGTGCTGTTCACATAAACTCGTGGCTTCGAGACTGGTGTGACCGGCAGAACTTTGGGTTCTTTGATCACGGGAAGGTCTATGCTACATTGGGCCTGATGGCACCGGATGGGATGCGCCTCTCTCAGAGAGGGGTAAGGATCTTTGGTCAGGAGTTGGCAGGGCTGATAGATAGGGCTTTAAACTAGAGTCGAAGGGGGAAGGGGCTAAAACCAGGCACGCCGGTGAAGACCTAAGGGATGGTACGCTAGAATCAGAGGGGCTGTGTGCCAGTGAGGTCCTTCGGTCAGATCCACAAGGTGCTGAGTGTAAGGAGACGCACCTGAAATGCTTCTACACGAACGCACGCAGTATGAGGAATAAAATGGATGAGCTAGAAGTACTGGCCCAGTCCCGCAGTACGACATCATCGGCATAAGCGAAACCTGGTGGGATGAGTCCTGTGACTGGGGTGTTGCGATAGATGGTTACAGGCTCTTCAGGAGGGACAGGCAGGGTAGGCGAGGTGGTGGGGTGGCGATGTATGTGAAGCAGGGGCTGGACTGTGTGGAACTCCAGGTCGGCGATGGCAAAGTTGAGAGCCTCTGGGTAAGGATCAAGGGACGAACGAATAAAGGGGATGTCGTTGTGGGAGTCTATTACAGACCGCCTGGCCAGGACGATAGCGCCGATAAATTATTCTTTACAGAACTAAGAGAGGCCTCGAGATTAACTCCCCTTGTCCTTATGGGGGACTTCAACTTGCCAGACGTTAACTGGGAGTGCCACACGGCTGACACGAGCAAGTCCAGGAGGTTCATGAAGCACCTAGATGATAACTTCTCGGTGCAGGTGCTAACGGAGCCAACTAGGAAAGGTGCCCTCCTAGACCTGTTGCTAGAAAACAGAGAGGGTCTGGTGGGAGATGTGGTGATTGGTGGCCGCCTCGGTCATAGCGACCATGAAGTGGTTGAGTTCAAACTTTACGGTGACAGAAGGAAAAGTGCCACCAAAACCTCATCCCTAGATATGGGGAAAGCGGACTTCAGGCTGCTCAGGGAACTAGTCAGCAAGGTCCCCTGGGAAGCTGCTCTTGAAGGCCTCGATGTCCACCAGTGCTGGTCATTCTTTAAGCGATGCCTCCTAGAAGCACAAGATCAGACAATTCCTAAATATCGCAAGTCAGGCAGGCGGGGCAGGAGGCCGGCGTGGCTGACCAGGAACATTCTAATGGAGATAAGGCGGAAACAGAGAGTGTTTCGCTACTGGAAGGAGGGCCAGGTGTCATGGAAAGAATACAGGGATGCTGTTCGTGTTTGTAGGGAGAAAATTCGTGTGGCCAAAGCACACCTAGAGTTGAAGCTGGCTGTGGCTGTGAGAGAAAATAAAAAGGGTTTTTTTAGATATGTGAATGGAAAAAGGAGAGCTAAAGAATACATAGGGCCGCTCCTTGATACGGAAGGTCTCCTCACAGACAATGACACAGGCAAAGCAGAGACACTTAACGCCTTCTTTGCCTCTGTCTTCAATGCCGATGATGGGCTTCGGGACCCAGGGTGCCCTGAGCTGGAGGACCGGGACAGTGGGGATGACAAACTCCCAACCGACCCTGAACGTGTGCGGGATTTGCTACTCCACCTGGATCCCTACAAGTCCATGGGTCCGGATGGGATTCATCCCCGGGTGCTGAAAGAGCTGGCGGATGTCATCGCGGAACCTCTCTCAATTATTTTTCAACGATCCTGGGAATTTGGAGAGGTCCCGGTAGACTGGAAGCTGGCAAATGTTGTGCCGATTTTCAGGAAGGGTCAGAAAGAAGACCCTAGCAATTACAGGCCTGTCAGTCTCAACAGTGCCTGGTAAAATCATGGAGAAGATGGTTCTCAAACTTATTGAGGCGCACCTGGGGGACAAAGCAGTCATTGGTCCCAGCCAGCATGGGTTTGTGAAGGGTAGGTCCTGCCTAACTAATCTGATTTCCTTTTATGATAAGATCACCCGTATGGTGGACCAAGGGAAACCAGCTGATGTGATTTTTTTGGACTTCAGCAAGGCTTTTGACACGGTTTCCCATAGGATCCTACTGGACAAAATGTCCACCATACAGCTAAATAAAAACATCATACGATGGGTGAGCAATTGGCTAACCGGCAGGGCCCAAAGGGTTATGGTGAATGGGTCTGCGTCAGGCTGGCGGGCGGTCACCTGTGGGGTCCCTCAAGGCTCCATTTTAGGGCCGGTACTTTTCAATATTTTTATAAACGATCTGGATGTAGGAATAGAAGGTATTTTGAGCAAGTTTGCTGATGACACCAAACTTGGAGGAGTTGTGGACTCGAATGAGGGTGGAAAGGCCTTGCAGAGAGATCTGGATAGGTTGGAGAGCTGGGCGATCACCAACCGCATGAAGTTCAATAAGAGCAAGTGCCGGGTCCTGCACGTGGGACGGGGAAACCCTGGCTGCACGTACAGACTGGGCGATGAGATGCTGGAGAGCAGCCTAGAAGAGAGGGATCTGGGGGTCGTGGTAGACAGCAAGTTGAATATGAGCCAGCAGTGTGCCCTGGCAGCCAGGAGGGCAAACCGTGTCCTGGGGTGCATCAAGCATGGCATCGCTAGTAGGTCAAGGGAGGTGATTGTCCCGCTCTACTCTGCGCTGGTGCGGCCTCACTTCGAGTACTGTGTGCAGTTCTGGGCACCACAGTATAAAAAGGACATGAAACTGTTGGAGAGTGTCCAGAGGAGGGCTACGAAGATGGTGAAAGGCCTGGAGGGGAAGACGTACGAGGAACGGCTGAGGGCACTGGGCCTGTTCAGCCTGGAGAAGAGGAGGCTGAGGGGAGACCTCGTCACAGTCTACAACTTCCTCATAAGGGGGTGTCGAGAGGCAGGAGACCTTTTCTCCATTAACACCAGTGACAGGACCCGCGGGAACGGGGTTAAGCTAAGTCGTGTCAGTGCTGCTCGAGGAGGATGTCACTGTCACTGAGCTGTCTGTCACCACTGGTAATGTCAGAGCAGGCATTACTCCCGTTCCAGGTTTTGGCGTCTCACATGCTATACATTTTGTCGCTTCCGGTTTGTTTTGGACAAGACAGGTATCACAATCCCACGTTCCAGCTACTGTTTTGAATTTGTCTCCAAAGCCCAGCATCTCTGCTGGGGGCGCTGTTGGCTTTGAGGTGTCACATTGGCTTGAACTTATTGTCTGTTTCGTAGTCTCGACTGTCGATGCTTTAGTCGCTTGACAAGTTACACATTTGTTGTCTATGTCTTTGTTTTGCAGAAAAGGGTCACATGTATCAGATTGCCAGTATGATGCTTGTTTAGAAGTCTCTTTACCTGCAGAAAAAGTTGTTATTGCAGGCCTAGTATAAATCACTGTGCTTGTTGTAGGTTGTGCAGATGTAGAAGAGTGTGTTTTCAAAAATCCAAAGTCTAGGGAGCAAGAAAAAATAAGTCAGACTGTTAGCGCAGCACCTCACTACATGCAACTAAGTGACTTTACTAGGGGACAAACATTTCAACTCAGGTGCCAATGGTTATAACCAGACATTCAGACCCAGCGCAACAGGAAGGCCCCAGAAATCTTATCTAAACGGATGAAATTTCATATGCTGCACTGGCTCACAACAGAACATTTATTTAAAGCTTCATTTAACTCTTTGTTTCCGAGGAAGTTTCAAATCAAAATTTGCACTGCTTGAGACAAGTACGAACAAACAGCTGACAGGTTTGACAGCCCAACGAGGAATGGAAATAATACAATTTCATTAAGATGCGATGCCCAATCGAATCAAATTTCTAGAGCTCCTCCTTCCGTAACAGATGACTCAAATTTACTTTAGTAAATGTACGGAAGTTTGTACTTGAAGCAGCAATCCATGCAGTATTTTCCCACAGATGCTGAATATTAATTAAATAATAAAAACTCGAGACAATTGAACAACTGTCTAATTTTCTACAATATTTGTTCAAAATGCATCGCACACAGGACAACTCCTGATTCAAAGGTGGCAATTTTAACAGAAAAGACAAGCTACTAATACAGAAACACTAAAGGAAACGCATCTTGAATAGCAGCTCAAGTTGCTCGTAAATGTACATTGAACGTAGTTGTTTTGTGGTTTTTTGTTTGCTTTTTTTTTTTTTTTTGCTGTTTTGTTTTTAAATCAGAAGTGAAGTTTTTGAACAATGTGGATTTAGATTCTGCTTCTTTTAAACTGATAAAGTGAATGTCACAGATTTGCAGCTTTTGCAATATCTTTAGAACCGAAACTCTTTACTATTCTTTCTGCACCTGGGCTGAAGGTGGGACAGGAGCGTCGAGTTTTACAAACATTTCCTTTTCAATTCCACAAATTGTATTTACTTAAAATGAAACATTGATCATCTAGCTAGTTCTCTTAGTACCTCAGTTACAGTTACATCCTAACACATAAAGGAGATGCAACCCATCTGGTTTTCAACTTGCAGTTTTACTTCCAGCAACAAAGACAACTTCACTTAGAATAGAAGGGGCAGATGCACCCTAACAAACGCAGCGCTTAATGTAATGCTCTCCTATGTTCATATTTATAGAAAATACTCTCTTAACCATAAGTTTGTTGGTTGTTTGTTTGTTTGAAATCAAAAATGCTAGCGTATTTTTTAAAAGGAGTTCATTATCTCACCAGGGTTTTTTAGAACGTCTAAGACGCTTCCTTCCTTTAATCCTCGTCCATATTTAAAGGGAACTCTGAAGGGAACAGCAACAAAACCTTCCTTCTCCTCTTGCTCATTGTTGGTGGATGCGGATGAGCTAGTTTCTTCTGAAACAAAAGAAAACAAACAGCTGTCACAATGCGATCTACCTAGAGCACATTATACTCACTTGCGTTAGAAACAAGAATTTCCAACTTTCATGCTTCTCACGGAAGAACCTTCACCAATTCTACTTATTTTATAATGGCTTATAATTACAAGCAATAAAAACAGATCTGTCACTGGAAAAATACTGCGGAAGTCCAACACTGCCCGGAATTGCTAGCATGCACAGACAGGACAGGTTTAAGATTTAATAAAGAAGAAAAGAAAAATCAGCACTTCAGATGTGAAGTGCTAAGATTTCAGTTACCTAGGGTAAGAAAGGACGTCACGGGCGTATCACCAGATCCAGAAAGCTCTGATGATTTTACAACGGGAACACTAAATGTAAACCCAATCTGCTATGAACAAGAGAGGTTTTTCAGAGCCACAGGAACGTCAATCAAATGCATACACAAAACCAAATCTGAAAGCTGGTCTTCACATTTGTAGCATGCATGCTGAATGACAAATTATAAGCCAGAAGCCTACATAGTTCTCTCCATCAAGGCAGATTCAGCTTTAGTGTTCTGCAACAGCCTACTAAATGCCTAAGAAAACAAGTCTAGCTTCTTTATTAGTTTACTTACAGGAAATGTAGATAGCACTTCTGCCTCCGTAGACTTCACAATTGGAGATGAAAGTCGTTTTTGAATTAAGTCACCCAGTCCAGCCATCTTCCCTCACCAGCTGCAAAGCAGGGCATATTTGCATTGATCCAGCTCCATACTAATAGGTTTCACAACCGCTTCAATTTATGCGACAGGCTGGAACCTGGGCTGAGACCTCTGAAGTGCCTGTAAACCAATCCTGCAGGCAGCCTCTAATCCATCAACTGGATCTGGGAATCACGTTGCTTAAAATGTTCCATAAATGCAACGTACTTTTCTTCTGTACAAGATTCACAGAGGCTAAGATGGAAACAACAGGAAAAAATAAAAAGGACCATACCTGGTTTCTCAGACTGACAAGCTACACATTTGTTATCTTCTGCCTTATTTGATACAAGACATATTGCACAGTCCCAAGAGCCTTTCGGCTTCTTAAATTTGTCTCCAAAGTCCAGAGTGAGTGTCGTGTCAGTGCTGCTCGAGGAGGATGTCACTGTCACTGAGCTGTCTGTCACCACTGGTAATGTCAGAGCAGGCATTACTCCCGTTCCAGGTTTTGGCGTCTCACATGCTATACATTTTGTCGCTTCCGGTTTGTTTTGGACAAGACAGGTATCACAATCCCACGTTCCAGCTACTGTTTTGAATTTGTCTCCAAAGCCCAGCATCTCTGCTGGGGGCGCTGTTGGCTTTGAGGTGTCACATTGGCTTGAACTTATTGTCTGTTTCGTAGTCTCGACTGTCGATGCTTTAGTCGCTTGACAAGTTACACATTTGTTGTCTATGTCTTTGTTTTGCAGAAAAGGGTCACATGTATCAGATTGCCAGTATGATGCTTGTTTAGAAGTCTCTTTACCTGCAGAAAAAGTTGTTATTGCAGGCCTAGTATAAATCACTGTGCTTGTTGTAGGTTGTGCAGATGTAGAAGAGTGTGTTTTCAAAAATCCAAAGTCTAGGGAGCAAGAAAAAATAAGTCAGACTGTTAGCGCAGCACCTCACTACATGCAACTAAGTGACTTTACTAGGGGACAAACATTTCAACTCAGGTGCCAATGGTTATAACCAGACATTCAGACCCAGCGCAACAGGAAGGCCCCAGAAATCTTATCTAAACGGATGAAATTTCATATGCTGCACTGGCTCACAACAGAACATTTATTTAAAGCTTCATTTAACTCTTTGTTTCCGAGGAAGTTTCAAATCAAAATTTGCACTGCTTGAGACAAGTACGAACAAACAGCTGACAGGTTTGACAGCCCAACGAGGAATGGAAATAATACAATTTCATTAAGATGCGATGCCCAATCGAATCAAATTTCTAGAGCTCCTCCTTCCGTAACAGATGACTCAAATTTACTTTAGTAAATGTACGGAAGTTTGTACTTGAAGCAGCAATCCATGCAGTATTTTCCCACAGATGCTGAATATTATTTAAATAATAAAAACTCGAGACAATTGAACAACTGTCTAATTTTCTACAATATTTGTTCAAAATGCATCGCACACAGGACAACTCCTGATTCAAAGGTGGCAATTTTAACAGAAAAGACAAGCTACTAATACAGAAACACTAAAGGAAACGCATCTTGAATAGCAGCTCAAGTTGCTCGTAAATGTACATTGAACGTAGTTGTTTTGTGGTTTTTTGTTTGCTTTTTTTTTTTTTTTTGCTGTTTTGTTTTTAAATCAGAAGTGAAGTTTTTGAACAATGTGGATTTAGATTCTGCTTCTTTTAAACTGATAAAGTGAATGTCACAGATTTGCAGCTTTTGCAATATCTTTAGAACCGAAACTCTTTACTATTCTTTCTGCACCTGGGCTGAAGGTGGGACAGGAGCGTCGAGTTTTACAAACATTTCCTTTTCAATTCCACAAATTGTATTTACTTAAAATGAAACATTGATCATCTAGCTAGTTCTCTTAGTACCTCAGTTACAGTTACATCCTAACACATAAAGGAGATGCAACCCATCTGGTTTTCAACTTGCAGTTTTACTTCCAGCAACAAAGACAACTTCACTTAGAATAGAAGGGGCAGATGCACCCTAACAAACGCAGCGCTTAATGTAATGCTCTCCTATGTTCATATTTATAGAAAATACTCTCTTAACCATAAGTTTGTTGGTTGTTTGTTTGTTTGAAATCAAAAATGCTAGCGTATTTTTTAAAAGGAGTTCATTATCTCACCAGGGTTTTTTAGAACGTCTAAGACGCTTCCTTCCTTTAATCCTCGTCCATATTTAAAGGGAACTCTGAAGGGAACAGCAACAAAACCTTCCTTCTCCTCTTGCTCATTGTTGGTGGATGCGGATGAGCTAGTTTCTTCTGAAACAAAAGAAAACAAACAGCTGTCACAATGCGATCTACCTAGAGCACATTATACTCACTTGCGTTAGAAACAAGAATTTCCAACTTTCATGCTTCTCACGGAAGAACCTTCACCAATTCTACTTATTTTATAATGGCTTATAATTACAAGCAATAAAAACAGATCTGTCACTGGAAAAATACTGCGGAAGTCCAACACTGCCCGGAATTGCTAGCATGCACAGACAGGACAGGTTTAAGATTTAATAAAGAAGAAAAGAAAAATCAGCACTTCAGATGTGAAGTGCTAAGATTTCAGTTACCTAGGGTAAGAAAGGACGTCACGGGCGTATCACCAGATCCAGAAAGCTCTGATGATTTTACAACGGGAACACTAAATGTAAACCCAATCTGCTATGAACAAGAGAGGTTTTTCAGAGCCACAGGAACGTCAATCAAATGCATACACAAAACCAAATCTGAAAGCTGGTCTTCACATTTGTAGCATGCATGCTGAATGACAAATTATAAGCCAGAAGCCTACATAGTTCTCTCCATCAAGGCAGATTCAGCTTTAGTGTTCTGCAACAGCCTACTAAATGCCTAAGAAAACAAGTCTAGCTTCTTTATTAGTTTACTTACAGGAAATGTAGATAGCACTTCTGCCTCCGTAGACTTCACAATTGGAGATGAAAGTCGTTTTTGAATTAAGTCACCCAGTCCAGCCATCTTCCCTCACCAGCTGCAAAGCAGGGCATATTTGCATTGATCCAGCTCCGTACCAATAGGTTTCACAACCGCTTCAATTTATGCGACAGGCTGGAACCTGGGCTGAGACCTCTGAAGTGCCTGTAAACCAATCCTGCAGGCAGCCTCTAATCCATCAACTGGATCTGGGAATCACGTTGCTTAAAATGTTCCATAAATGCAACGTACTTTTCTTCTGTACAAGATTCACAGAGGCTAAGATGGAAACAACAGGAAAAAATAAAAAGGACCATACCTGGTTTCTCAGACTGACAAGCTACACATTTGTTATCTTCTGCCTTATTTGATACAAGACATATTGCACAGTCCCAAGAGCCTTTCGGCTTCTTAAATTTGTCTCCAAAGTCCAGAGTGAGTGTCGTGTCAGTGCTGCTCGAGGAGGATGTCACTGTCATTCTAGCTCATAAGTTTTAAAGCACAATGATAGGTTGGGGTTTTTTTGCTATGCTTTTGACAGTTTCTGTAATCTTTTTGTTCATCACTCTCTTCTTGGAGCATCATGAAATCATGTAAATATTCTAGAAATGTAAAGAGTTAAATGGGGTCTAAAGATAGACTTGCCTGTGTAAATAAAAATTTGTTTCTGCAAACCTGCCAGCAAGGGATTTACTTGTACCTGTGTGCAGCACGTTCTCTTCTGGCTTGTGAAACTTAACAAGGTAGTAAGGGTATTTCATCTGCCTTTATTTTTATATGGGTGTTAGGACACAAGCGAAATCTCGTTTTCACTTGTTTTCCGGGTCACTTAGGTAAGTGACAAGCCAAGCCCTTCATGTGCTTGCTTAGATTGGAAGTGTGTATGGGAGACACTTTCAGGCCTTGCTGTGGAGCACCTGTCTGCTCCTTCCTGCAGGCTGCTGGCTCTAACTGTACTGCTGATATCTGCTAGGTCAGCTGAAATTGGCTTCTAAATCTGGTATTTTAAGCATATGGAAGCGTAGACTTGAACTGCCGTAGCTACAAACATCTCATGGAACGAGGATGAAGTCTGTTGGCACTCTGCATCAGCATTCAGCTTTCCCTTGACCTTCTTACTGGTAGACTTCTCAGCTGACTTACAGCAAAGAAGTTGCTGCAATATAATACATATTCTTAAGCTAACAAAAAAAATCTTGGAGAAAACAGTTTGCTGGCTTAAAGAAGGAAAAATAACACCAGGAACAATAAAAAAAAATAATCCTAGTAACAGCTCCTTAAGTTATATCCTCTGCTACTCTCTAATTTCTCTGGTCTTCCTTCATTCATGGTAATGAAGTTTATAAAGCTTTGGTAGAAGGATGACAGTATTCAAGTCAAAGGAGAGGAGAGCAATGAGGAAAGCTTTGCTTGAAGCTAGAGCGGTCTTGCAAGTTGCTGCCTTTATATGCTGTTCTCATCTCGAAGGGTGTAGAGTATTTTCCAGTCATAGGGACTCCATAACCCTATGAGTATTGAGAAATAGTTGCTAATTAACAGTGTATATAATAATTAACTGAGGCTGGAAACAAAAGAATATTCTTCCAAGAAAAAAAAGGAAGCAGAAATTACTGTACTTAATAGCTGTGGAAGCTGTTAAACCTAGCCGACACAGCTTTGGTACTGCCCTGTGTGTTTTGGGGGCAATATAAACCATAATTACTGTGATGGCAGGTAAGAATCAAATTCTTATGGCTTAGTGTAGTTAGGGAAAGTAGCAGTCGTAAGCTGGGTGCTGTTCTTGAATGTAATACAAATTCTCCTTTGTGACTCCTCAGTACTTAGAGGTTACTTCTAGCTGATCAGCAGAAACAGCTTCTGTTTGCTATTAGCTGTTGGGTTTTTGCTAGGAGTGTTTTCAGTCCTGAATGGAAATGACGACATCCTGAAACAGAAAAGGCTTTTGGAGTGTTACAGGAAACATGTTCTTCGTGGTTCTAGTGCCGGTGTACATGTAGGAAGAGACAGAAGGCAAGGAACCTCACGTAGGCGGAGGGGGTGAGGTGGGTGAGGTGGCATCACAGTTTGAGCCGTTGCAGTTAGATCTTCCCAAAGCATGGAAGCAATGTGGCGGGGAATCAGGGGCTTGGTGGGTTGCTTCCTTGTGTGAGCCAGTGAGTCTTTAGAGGGGCAGATTAATAAGACAGGAGTTAGAGGTGGAATAGATGAAGCAAAGAAAATCTGGGTGGGAAAAGGGTTGCTTGTATGTGTATTTGGAATTGTTTCAGGGGATTGAGCTGGGGCAGATTCAAGGTAATAGATGCAGCCTCCTTGAATTTGGATGGCAGTGCTGAAGCTTCAGAGCCTTACAAGGTTTGATGCCACTTCAATTGTAGTGCGATTTTTTTTAAATCTATTTTCTTCAATGTGAGCAGCAAGGCAGCTTCCAGGTGTGTGCCTGCTTTGACATGGCTTGCTTTGCATCACCAAACACAGTAGTTAGGTTGCATCGAGTACTTTGTGGAAACACTCGTTGTGTTGTCAACTGAAAAGGTAGTGCTACAGATGTGTTGGCCCAGCAGAAACAATGTGAAGTATCAGTGCTGTTTTTTGGCCTTTGAGAGGCTGGTCCCTAACATGTGACTTGTAATGAGGGTCCAATTAACTTCAATTAATCAATTAACTTGAGTGACTCACGTTAATAGACACCGTTTGACTGCATCGGCAAATATTTCTGAGTCATGAGTGTCATTAAAGGCCCGTCACCCTATGGAAATCCTTCTAAATAAGAAAAATGGAATTAAAATAAATAAATAAAGCAGCATTTGAACTTATGAGCAAACATAGCGTAGCTGCCTTTGACACTGATCTGGAGGAGAAAAATCACGTTATCTTAATAGGGTTGCCTTAATAGGTTTGGTGTAGGTGAGGGAGGGAAGTGTTTTTTGTTGGCCCAGCTGTTCCATGTCCAATGCAGGAGGGGGCTGAGAGTGATTCCCTGAGCACGTTGGTGTGGAAATCAGTGATTTCACTGCCCGATGCGTGTTATTAAGGGCACAATGTGTACCCCGTTACCACTTTCGTTTATTTTCTGTGGTGAAAATCCGTCACAGTGCCTATGTTTCCCGTGCCACATGGTAGAATTCAGCGTGGCGATCGCTTCCTGGACCAAGGCGGCCACGAACCCAGCCTCAAACACTGCGTGTGCTTGGGTTAACAGTGTGGGGGCTACTGGTGTGGGTCTTTTTTTGTTACTGGTGTGGTTGCGGGTTATCGGTGTGGGGGTTACTGGTTATCGGTGGGGGGCTTTTTTGACGAGCACTGTGGGGTTGTGGCGCTGTCCCACCCCCGGCGCGGTGCTGCTGCACCCCAGCCTTCGGCACCACGGGGCGGGGAGGCTCCGCGGCCGTCTTTTAGCCCCGTTCTCGTGCTGTCCGGGCCGGCTTTTCTTATGGCGGCCGCTCCCCGAGGCCGCCATCCCTGAGGTGAGGCAGCCCCGCTCCCCTCCCCGTCCCCGTCCCCGTCCCCGTCCCCGTCCCCTCACTTCGCGCTTTCCCGCGCGGCCCCGCCTCCTCCTCCCCTCCCTCCCCTCCCTCCCCTCTCGCGAGGCCGGGGCCGGGGCCGGGGCCGGGGCCGGGGCCGTCGCGGGCGGGTGACGGCGCGGCGCGCACCGCGCTGACGGGAGCCGCCATCGCCTGCCCCAATTGGCCGCGTGAGGCGAGCGGCGGAGCGGGGAGGGCGAGGGACGGGACGGGACCGGGACCGGGACCGGGCGGGGGGCGTGTGACGGCACAGAGCGAGGGGCGCGGCGGCATGGCCTCGGGCGGCCCAACGGCCGGCGGCGGAACGGCCGCGGAGGGCTCGGCCGGCGGCGGGTGCGGCGGAGGCGGCGGCGGTGGCGGTGCGGCCGCGCCGGAGCGGGAGCCGGAGCCGGAGCCGGAGCCGGAGCCGGAGCCGGAGCGCTTGGAGGAGGAGGAGGAGGAGGAGGAGGAGGAGGAGGAGGAGAAGTTGCTGCGGCTGGCAGCAAGATGAAGAGGCGGCGCCACCGTTGGGGCGCCGCGAGGGCCCCCTACCCCCGGTTTAGGCAGGTGAGGAGCGGCCCCCACGCAGCGGGCCCTGCCCCACAGCGCCTCGGTTGCCCGTGTACTTATCGCTCAGCCCCTTCCTGACCCCCTCACCCGCCCCTTTATCCCTTTAATTGCCCTGTACCCACCTCCTTATCCCCTTAATTACCCCCTCAACTGTCCAGTTACCCCCCCAGTTACCCCCCCAACCCTTTACTAACCCCCCTTAGTTACGCCTTCAGCCCCTTCCTGACCCCCTCAACTTCCTCTTTATTCCCTTAATCACCCCCTACCCACCTCCTTATCCCCTTAGTTACTCCCTCGACTGCCTAGTTACCCCCTCAGTTATCCCCTCGGCCCCTTACATATCCCCTTAATCACCCCCTAGCCACCTCCTTACCCCCTTAGTTACCCCTTCAGCGCCTTACTTTCCCCCTTTATTCCCTTAATCACGCTCCAGCCACCCCCGTACCCCCCTAGTTACCCCCTCAACCACTTAGTTACTGCCCTTAGTTACCCCCCCCAGCAACCCCCCGCAACTGCCTAGTTACCCCCCTAGTTACCCCCTCGGCCCCTCACTATCCCCCTTATCGCTTTACCCAGCCTTTTACCCCCTCTCTTTTTTTTTTTCCCCCCTACCTGCAGGAGGGATGATCAGCAGGATGCCTAGCTCATGATTGTCAGCTTGCTGAATATTATTTAACTGTAGGTCCTGGGGTTTTGGTCGGGTGGGAATTCTCTGATCGTACCCGATGTGAGCTGCAGAGTCAGTCTCCTCCAAAATACAGCAACAGCTTTAGGAGGCTCTTGCAAGAGGAGGTGCTGCTGCTTTTTAAAAACTATGAGTTAAAGCGTTTGTTCAGAATGTGGTAGACCCTACTTCAGCTTCCTGTTTTGCCTGGAGCGATCAACCTACATCTTCCACGTCCCAGGCAAGTATCCCAGTCGTCAAGCTGTGTGTTATCTTCAGTTCTCCTGGTTGAGGCCGTGTTACTATCCAGAAAAAGAACGCATGATTCACTGAGCCAGAAAGAGGATGGATAAGAAAATGTTGCCCTCCAAGAAAGGAGACGTGCAGGTTCTGGCCTTTGGTTTCAGAACTTTGTGCTCGTTTAATGTTAGATGTTGCTTACAGCAAGCATCCAAAGCCTCTCATTTCCTGCCCTTTTCTGCCCGTATGCCTGATGACTAAACTTTAGAGCCCCGCTTCGTTATGGTTTTGTTTGTTTGTTTTTAAATCGAGTGCCTTTTTTTAAACCGGGTGAAATAGGAGGGGTGAACAGACGCTGTCTGGAAGAGAGCACTCGTGACTTGCAGCTTGTGTAGTGTCCTAGGAGATGGAGATATGGATACAGATTGCCCCACCAGTGAAGGAACTAAGCTGTGGTATTTTCCCTTCAGGGCTACCATCCTGCCTTATAAAAAGGGCACCATCAGCAGCTGTGTTATTAAACTGACAACAAGTAACAGCGCTGCTAGGTACAGGTAGTATAGGCTCACCCACCCCGAAGGTTTCTGGGCTGGGAATCCTCAGAAACAAAAAGCTTTCTGCGTTTCTGGGTTAGGCAGTCTGGGAGTAGAATTTAGGAGTCCTTCCTGTGGACAGCTTTCTTAATGGCCCCGTGCTGATTGCACTGACTTGAGATAATGCTGGGCTTGGCGTGCTACCCATTTCCTCAGCCATTTCATGCTGAAATATCCATCCTGCTTCTGTATGGTGTAAGGAGCCTGGGCACCTGGGTTAAAATTGCATCTGTGCCCTGAGAGCCGAGC